TCATGTAACATCTTTGGAGATAGCGAATGAGAAAGAATTATAAGCCGGCCACTGATCTTCTTGAAATTGTTATGCGCAAAAAATTCTCTGCAGCTTTATCTTGTTTTGGAAATCAAGCAAATGAAAGTTCACTTTTAAAAATCTAGGCTCCATAATATTTGCGATAAACATTACGAACTTATCTTGAAGATGAGTAAGCAGAGTTTTTACAAGGTTCGAATAACATAGAAACCATAAACAAATAAGAATCATCTGAATAATTTCACAATTTTAACGTTTCGTCCTATCTGAGGGGAAAAAAAAAGAGAAACACAGACAGACAGAGTCCGTATGCTAATGAAAGAATTTCGTAGTCGAAATTAAATTCAAAATCCATTTGCAATAAGTGGCTTCCCCATTTCACTAAGTGAAGACCCCGAAAGGTGCAAAACAAAAAACAAGAAATTTTCAGCTTACAAACGAATAAATTCTAGATGTTCCTCGGCGGTGAAAATGCATTCTGTCAAATCTGCTTTTTTATATGTGATTCTTATTAGAAATCACAATAATTATGTTAACTGGAGATATAAGAGCGAGATTGGATTGTAATGCGTAAACTATTTAAGGATCTTTTTTCCCTAATCTTAAAAGTCGATGGGCGAAAGTGTTGTGTTGCTGTTAATTTTTGTAAAACGTTTAGTTTCATATTCGAATACTTTCCCGGAAAAAACAATTTGTCTTTGATTAAATTCATGATTTTGCTTAAGGTTATGCTGGAAATATTTTTTTTTTTCCAATTTGCGGTTTGTTTCAATTTATTACAAAACAAAATAAGAAGAAGACACATCTTTTTTTTTTTTGTTTTAATTTTTTTTTTTTTTAGGCTAAACTCTGATGCATGAGGCGAAAAAAGGCATACCATACCAGAGCCATGCCTTATAAATGCCTGTTGGTAGTGGAAGTAATTTTTTATTTTTGGTTTTGTTGATTTCACTGGCGCCAGTCTAAGCTTCCTGGGAGAAATAAATTCCTGAATGAGCAGGAAAAAGCAACACTAAACTCAGCCGCCGGCTAAACTGGCAAAACTCAAATGCTACTTTGAAAGCTTTGTCTGCGTATTTTTATTCTTCATTTTTCCTTTTTTTTTTCTTCTTTTTTTTTTTTTTAAGTAAATATTTGTATGTGTGTGGATGAGTAGGAGAGAATGCCTGTGCCTGTAATTCCCGTTTTCTGTTTTTTTTTTTTTTTTTTTTTTTCATATTGTTTTAAGCAACTTACAATTTGCAACTTTAATTTTTACACTCCGTTCTCATTTCATTCGGAATCTGTGTCCATTGATTGCCTGGTTGTGTTGGCAACAATTGGCAGTTATGTTTCCTACATAGATTAAATAACATCCTTGAAGCCTTGAGGGTTTCGCTTTTACCTTAGATTCCCTGAATAATTCTTCTGCGTTACATAGACAGAGCGTAACAGCCTATCTGTCTATCTATGTATCTGACTATCCCAATGTATGGTTCGTAATAACAAAACATTGTAACGCTTTTCCGAATGCTTCCTTCTTTAAAAGCAGCCGACATTTAAATTTAAAAGTAAAGCAACAAAAAAAAAAAAACAACAAAAAAAACCAAACTTATTTTTCCATTTTCCTATAGAATCTATGTTCGTATTTTCTTTTTGTTGCATATTTTTACTTTTTTTTTCCTCTGCCCTCTAAGCAATCATAATCATTTTTTCTTTGCTCTAGGGATACTAAAGCAGGGACCAAAAGGAAAGTTTTAATTTTTTCAAGAATACATTGGGTTTTGTTGTTACGTTTTTTTTTGCATTTAAACATAAAATACAAGCGAACAAGCGAAAAACACAAAACCGTTTTGTTAAAGCAAATTTTGTTTGTAAAAATATAAAATCAATGGTTTTAGAGTAAATATTAAAAGCCTCACGGTTGTGTTTTACTTTAAATTAGTTGATTAATGTATGCAATGCATGTAAGGATGTATGTACATTGTTTGCCAATTATACATGTTTTACTTTTCTCTACTATGTATGTAGGGTGTTAAGGTTGTCACAAAACTTTATACATCAACTTATTAAGCGAAAACAGTGATATAAAGTCACGTTCAAGAATTTTTGCTGCTCTCCTTTGAATAGTTTTGATGGCTTTATTCAGTGATATTTGCTTCAATCTCATGACATCACATTTTTTTTTCTCCTTTATATGCGGCTTTGATTAACATCATAATTTAAGAACACTAGGATTAGAGCATGTAGTTTTAAAAGTTTAGATAAAGAATTGACTATGAGAAGCGAAAGTTTTTGCCTCCGGATAAATCTTGAAATATACACCAAATCAACGATAATCGGATCGCGTTCAGACTTTGAGGCTCTTTTGAAGCGTGAAATTAAAATTTTTAACTATTTTATGTTGAATTTTCCAAAAAATTTTTTTTACTTTACTTTAGCGCAATTCAACACTACCCTAGATTAATTCATGTAAAGACTTTTGAAAATTAGCTTCTATATAGGATGTGATCGAAAGAGTGGTCGATCGTAAATCATTTTCAATAACGATCATCCTTGGATGAAAGAAAATACATGTACCAAATTTCACCATAATATCTCAAAAATTATGGGATACAGCAAAACAGGATGGACAGACGGAGAGGCAAGTTAAAATTTGTTCAGAAAGTGTTTTGGAATCAATGTAGACTTGATCGATGGCATCAAAATATTTGTAAATTTACAGTTAGTTATGATGTGTATGACGTCACAGTATGTTAGACAGGAACTGCCCAATCGATCCAAAATTTGTGACAAAGGAGCGTTGAGGAACTGTGCATAACATTTCAGAACAACCGAATTATAACATTTAATAATTGCTTTACAAGCCATGACTTGAGCCGGAATTATGCAGAACTGTAATCTCTGTAAACAGTCTCTTGGCCGCGAAAAGTACGCTATCGCCTTAAATATGCCAGAAATATTCAAAATTCTTCTGCGCGGGCTGTTGTTGAAAATGGATTAAGTCATATTCTTTAAAAATGAAACTACATAGCCACGCCCATTCAACGTTATCAAGTCTGAAAATTACATTTTTTCGTTATTTTAGTCTTTATTCCAGGATGAAGGTGCGATGAACATAAAAGATTCGGCCCCAAGCGATTAAAATTTTCTTACTTGTTTTATTCTCTGTACAACTGAACCTCTATATAATATGTCTTATGTTTATGTCCAGAATACAAAGTACGAATAAGTTTCTTTGCAAGATACAAGTCTCCTTTCTGACTGTGAGCTTTTGAAGCTGATCGTGGAATAATGTGTTGAGAAATCACGTAGCTCGGTTACGGTTACATAAGATTTTCTTCTCGATTCGTTTTACTAATTCGATGAGAACAGCTCTTCCTGATTCATTTCTACTACCTCTGTAGCACTACTTTTGATAGAGTTTTGAGTTACAGTCTTTTTCTCAGATGGTTTCATAGTTCTAGTTACTCTTAGTAGTCTCGTGGCTGGATGGTAACTGTTAAAAAAAAGTCCTTTCAGAATTCAGATTCAGAAACTTATAATCCAAGTTTTTTCAGTCTTTATTATTATGAATTGATGCGACTCGAGAGCTAAAGAATGAGAAAATTAATCGCAAGACAGTTTGGTGGCCTTAATCAACTTAATTTGATGGATAAATAAATGAATGATCAGACAAACGAACTAAATGCATACGTCGACTAAAGAAGGCAGCTGTTCGGGTAGTCAAGAACTAAAAGAAAAATCAGCATAAAGCATAATCTATGACTATGTGTCGAATTGAAATTTCTTACGGGTAGATAGACACCTACGGAAATTGCGTCGAGAATTATCTGTATTTGACGCCAATGATTTTTTTCAATGATCCACAATAGTAAAAAGATTGTTGTCAATCGCTTCAATGGGAACACATTCGACATCTCCTGTGGGTAAAATAATCTTGTGTTATTAATCTCTACTGAACATATCATAAGGATTTATAAAGATAAAAGAAATATTTGTATATTCTCTGAATCCTTTAAAGTATGCATACACAAATGTAAAGATATGCTATGAATTGAATGCATGCTTACGATAACTGTCGCATACACATAGTTAGTTGCTTAGGTGCATATCTAATGCTAAAGATCTAATTTTATTAAGAAGCTGAAGCAAAATTTTGCTTTTTGCTTTGCTAGTCATCATAAAGAGACACTTATTGGAAATATTTGCTTTTCATACATACACACGTACATACACTTGCTAGTTTATGCAAAGGCATACACGCACATACAAATTTTTGCAAAATCTTTATTCAGTGCACGTGTTTGAAAAAACGTAAATTTTGCTGAAAGTGCAGATGAAATGTCCAATGCTGACAACAGATTCCTTAACTACCTTTCGTTTTAATGAGCAGATTAACCATAAGTAAATAATATTGTATGTACGTTTCAAGCAGGCGACAAGGAAAGAGAACAGATAAAAGTTTTTCATGAACTTTTTCATGAAAAATTTTTCGCAATCATGTTCTGTTTATTTTTTTTTTTTTTGCCTTTTTTTTCATGTTCTGCATGAACAAAATGATAGGAGTAATGCTTGCTCGCGAATGTAGTGATAATTCAGAGGGGCTTTCTAAATCGACTTAAGAGTATTTCTCTCTCTATTTGAACGAACTTTTAATGAATTCATTGTGTCTGTTGTCGAGAAAAGGCCACGTAACAACATTGCCACTAACTAACAAATAATATTTATACAAATTAATTGCATACCATATGTGCGGTGAAAATGTACATATTACCAAGTATAAACGTTATATTTTCATGTAGTTATGAAAACCGTATCGTTCCTTATATTCAATCACGAAGTACATATAATTCGTTAATTTAATTGCATAAATATACCTACATACAATATACCTACCTATGTATGTTCATATAACATACATAGTATAGTCGAGTCATAGTTATGGCATATATGACGGCATTCATTGTTTGCTTATATATATATGTATATATACATAGGTAGCCTGGATGCACTTCGAGCAATCTGCTATATTAACCGTACACAATCATGTGATAACACGTAATCCACGCATCAGTGTGACACACGATAAGCATGATCGCCATCGCACCTGGTATTTGCACATAAACAATGTCCAAGAGGAGGACAAAGGGCGTTATATGTGTCAGATAAATACAGTGACAGCAAAGACGCAGTTCGGCTACTTAAATGTTGTTGGTAAGTACATAAAGCAAAACGTATTAAAAATAATCCTTATCCTTAAAAAAAAAAAAAAATAAAAAAAAATTAAATAATTTAAACTTTTTCAGAAAATTGTACTTTAAAAAATCGTGACACTCTCCTTTAATTTAATAATTTTCTCTCCCATGTCTGACCGCCTGTCTGCTTCTTTATTGTAAAGTGCGGCAAAGCGGGGGAAAGTTGGAGGATGAAACAAATATTATTGTTTCAGTTCTCCCAACCAAAATTGAAAATTCGTCGATATATAGATGGATGTGTGTAACATCCGATTCAGGATAACTCTCATAATCGATTTAAGTTAGTCTGTTCGTTCGCCTGTTCGGCTTTCTTGTACTCAAGCTGCAGGTTGTCATTCCTGAGGTCTTTCCAATGAAATCTGGCACGTGGACGTGTTTTGCTATTGTACTTTTGATAAAAAATAAAAAAATCGAAGCATCAATAAAAAACTAAATTATGCCTTGTGCATTCAAAAGCCACTAAAACTAAGCAAAATACAGTCACAATAACTAATTACCAATAAGCGACTGATGCTAAAAGATTACAACATAAAAAGTAAATGATAAAAAATTGTAAGGAAAAAAGTTAATTCGATGTTTACAATACAATGTGAAAAAGAATGAAAAGCTATCAGCAAAAATAAAATTTCATTATTATCCATCATCAGTATCAAAAGCAAACGTACATCCTGCTAACCATATAACATGAAATTAATTAAAAACAAATAAAAAGGTTGTATTCGAGCAAAGCCGATTTTTGAATATCTTATATTGTTTCGCTTAATATAGTTCTTGCTTTTGTTTTTGTTTTTTCCAGAAGCATATAAATCCATTTTTTTTTTACTGCGATGTAGGAGAGCGTTTTAATTCCCTACCCTGCGTAATGTTATAATATTATAAACATCAAATAATATATAAATGTGTACTATTCTCAAATCGCGCCCTTTGAAATTTCATGTCAATTTCAATCATTTATTTACAAGTTACGAGCGATTTTAGTGACTCCCACTACCACTGTCACTTTTTCTAGTTTCAGAACAATGAAAAAAATCCAAATGTCGTGTGTTAATTAAACATTGCTTTGTGGCGGGGAAAAACAATAGAAAATATTATATTAGTTTGGGGAAAAAGAAATCCATTATTTTTATATGAACTTCAGGACTCTATTTAACATGCTTCGGATTGTCCGATTTGGGTCAAATATGCACCGTTTTGTTGTATGATTTGTTGCCATTTTAAAGGTAACTTCAAAATGCCTCTCTCATAGAAGTACTGGTCTCTATTTGCAAAAAACTCTAGTAGTCGATTTTCACAATCCTCCCTAGATTCCAATTTTTTATCATTAAAGAAATTTTGCAATGCAAGAAAAAGATGATAATCGCTTGGTGCCAAGTCCGGACTGTATGGCGGATGCATTAAAACTTCCCAACCAAGCTCCCGAAGTTTCTGGCGAGTCACTGTAGATGTGTGTGGCCTAGCGTTGTCCTGGTGGAACACGACAATTCTGGCCGTTTCTGGTCAATCGCTATCTTCAAACGGTCCAGTTGTTGACGGTAGAGATCAGAATTTAGCGTTTGGCCATATGGAAGCAACTCATAATAAATAATCCCCTTCCAGTCCCACCAAATGCATAGCAAAACCTTCCTGGCCGTTTGAGGTGCTTCACCGCTCTTTGACCACGATCGTTTTCACACAGGGTTATCGTATGTGATCCATTTCTCATCTCCAGTCACCATCCGTTTAAGAAATGGGTCTCTCTCATTCCGTTTGGCCAAGGCTTCGCAGATGGAAATTCGATCCATCATGTTTTTTTCTGTTAATTGGTGTGGCACCCGAACATCGAGCTTCTTTTTGAATCCACCTTTGTGTAAATGGTTTAAAACTGTTTTATGGTCGATTTTTAGCTCTTGGGCGATGCTACGACTGCTAATATGCCGGTCAACTTCGATCATTTCACCGATTTTATCGACATTTTCGACGACCGGCCTCCCTGTGCGAGGTGCATCTTTAACATCAAAAATTCCTGAACGGAATCTACGAAACCAAAATTGCACATAATTGGCTGTTACAGTATCGGAACCAAAAAAACACCATTCACAATTTTAGCCGCCTGGCTTGCATATTCGCCTTTGTCAAAGAAAAACTGTGAAATGTACCGAATTTTCTCTTTGTTCACTTCCATTTTTAACACGCTGTAACTCATAACTGAATGCACCAAACAAAAAACAGCAAAAGAATTTTTTTTACTGCGAAATGTCACCTTTCCAACGAGCTTAAATCTGAAATTGTTTGATCGATACTTTACGAGAAATCTACCAGTGCAGCCAGGGGGATTGTTTCAACTTTCAATCGATGTTTGAAAGGCATCGGACGGATAGACAGACAATTGCAGAAATAATTTCAAATCGATTGGCGAAATGATTACAAGTCATTATAACACAATCGATGCAAGAATTGTAAGTAGAGGTTTACCCACGTATCCGGCACAACAATCATGATATGATATAAAAACTAAGAAATAACTATGATTGACAAAAATCGTGCACCGCCGTACCTTTCTTTTCTGCTGCAATATTTTACATAACTCTTCGCCTGCATACCAACTAAACGACAATACTTGACAATGCGTATAACGTTAAACTGGCTTACTCAGCAAAGGGTCCATTGAATCTCTCACTTTATAGCAAGTTACTTATATGCTCCGTTCAATTTGTTCGCGGTGTCTCGATAATTGTTCAAGAGCCCTCGGCAAAGTTAATTGATTTTGAAACTCGAACTATTCAACGTCCCGCATAAACATCTAAACAAAATTTTATGACCATAATTGCATACAAAGTCTAAGGTCATCGTATCAAGCTTTCCTCAATCCGCCAAACGTGTTTAACGTAATTGTTGAACCTCAGCCTTTATAAGCCTAATAAGAAGAAGCTTATTCTCACGACGAATGCTATTTGCATTAATTAATATTAAATATAGTTTATGCGGTCTTCGATATCTGCGATATTTCTCTCTATTAAGAAACATTTGCGGTGTAATAAATGCATATTTTATCGTCTACCATGGAAATTGTGAAAATAATACATAACTCCCATTGATGCGTGATGAGTGTAGAATTGCAACGAAAGGATGAAAAAAATATTCATTCAATAAAAAATACAAGAAATTTTTTATGCAATATTTCTAAAATGGTTCTCTTCTTTCTTCGTGTTCCTATGCTTAGTAAATCAGTAATAACTTTATAACAAATGTCGGTTTGATTTACATCCCGCATAAATGTCACAATATGTTTACATGTCTGCTAATTTACATATATATACATATATATACATATCATTTTAATTCAATATCAAGCATTTGAATTTATTGAAAAGTTAAATAAAAAGAATATATATATACATATATATATGTATAATATAATGTATGTGTGCCGTATTTCTCAGAATTTGAGAAATGAATTTTGGTTTAGAGAGATATGTATAAATAAATATCCGGGTAAGCGTATTTGAGTTTGTGTGAATAATTTACCGCGCAAAGTTATTTCATCGTATTCGTCCTTATGCCCGCGCGCCCCCTTACGCAGATAAAGATAATACAAATAATTATTTCGTAATTATATTTGATGCCATCAGATATTTTCAAAACAAACTTCTAATTGCAACTGAAATGAATGAAAGAGATAATTACTTTTATAAGAACAAAGGAAAGAAAGCATTGCTTGAGTAAGACAACTTGACACAAACAAACTACCAATTTTATCGTTTTAGTTACTCGATAGTGTGTGTAGCTCTGCGAACTGTGCATAAGCGAACTTATACTTAAATTCATTTCTATTTCTTTGCAAAACGTAAAAATAGTCGTGGAAAACAGTCATGGATTTAACATTTTATGCAAAGTGGTACGAACAGTGGTTTGTTTTTATCTAAAAGAAACGTTGCAAACAACGATAAATTAAAATTTTTTTTTTTTTTTTTTTTTCTTTAGAATTGTATTAAATATAAACGTTTCCCTAATAATTCACAATCAGCAATGAAATATATAAGGCGTTCTTCTTATTATGAATGACCCTCTCCGTATTATAAGCAACAACAATAACCAATCATGAATTTTAATAAATATATTTTTTTATTTAATTTTCTTCTTTATTGTATGTAATTGAGCAATAAGTTGAATGGGAGAAATAAAATAATTTGCTTGTTTCACAGTTATATAACAAAAATTTCAAATATTGAAACATAAACAAAAAAGTTGCAACTTTTTTTATTTGATTGTGTATATATATTTATTTTTTTTTTGCATTGTTTTGCAAAAAACTACAAGTACAAACTTTTAGAATTAAAGATTAGTATGAATGAAATTAAATTTTTTTTTGTTTTCCTTTTTTTCATTTTTTTTTAATTTGATTAAAAAAGTGAAATAGAACATTTTTATGCTTGTTTTTTTTTTATAAAAAACCGATCCTCAAAATCCGCATTAGCTTCCGCAACGATCTGATCTAATCTGAAATGATATGAAAGTACGATGGTTAATGTAGGACGATTAATGTCAAACGGTGATACGATGTGTTTATCTCTCTCCGAGTTAATGTTATATCCCTTTGGAAGGTGCCTTTCCCTTGCAGAATGGTAAAATACATTGCTTTATCAGCTATGCTTTACAAGCCCGCTTCTTGCTAACGATATGTTTATCCTTCACCACTTATGGTACAGAATATGTTAAGGTTTTGCCCCAAGGAAGGCCTTAACAGAGTTATGCAGAAGTTTTATTTTATCAGTCAATTCTATTTCTTTGTCTATCCGTCTGTGCATCCACCTGTCTGATGTCTGTTCAGGTATTTTTTGCGTTTAACCAACTGGCCGTAACTTGTTAAATTTATTCCAGTTGAACATACTATATTGTGTAAAAAGTTTTGGGTCGGAGATGTAAACCTTTAAAACTTCATTTCATATAATCACTTCTACGAGAAATAAGCTTTCATATTAGGTCTATCTGTTGAGCTTCACGCCGCATAAACATTCTCATGAAAAAGAAGCTTTTGCACGGAAAACAGATGTATTTATAAGAGGAAATGTCGCATTTTGGACTTACTTCTACTAATAGTAATATACCACGGACAGCATGCCTTTCATGAAAAGAACTTATAATTATTGGTATTTAACATGAAACTAAATGGAGATTTTATATTACACAAAGTCCTGAGGGATGTTGTATTGTCGACCGTGCCCAACTATGTTGTGTTTGCTGGTTTCAATAAAAGAAATTAACATTTTCCCAATATCTTGAAAAAGAGTAAAGGTAATGGTGTACGGGCAGTCACCAAAACACATAAGCGAAAGATTGAAAGGGTTGTGTTAATTTTTAGTAGGCGTGTTTTGGGGACTTGCACTTTCTGAAAATAATATGATGAATAGAGACGACATCTTTGTGTCATATATTCATGTTATATATTCTAAATGATAAACGTATGATCTATCAATCAGATTAGCCATCATAGCCGCTGAGGTATACGTGGGGAGGTTGAAAGGAATGACACACATTTATTTGGTATTCGTGATGTTGACAATGCAATCATTAGAAATTGAAACTTTCTACATATATAACCTAAAAAACAACATGCAATTTGCATAAAAAAAAAAGATGAGCTTACGTTCCCTTGGAAAACACCTGTATCACGTTTGAATTGTAATAGACATAACTTTTCCAAATTATGTTTAAACATACTTATTAGCATAATTTCGCAATTTACATTAACTCGATCACTATAAAAAAAACGGGAAATATTACAGTCGGTAATTATGCTGATTTGCATTTTCCTTTCGCGTTTACTTGTTTCAATTGCTTATGCAAGAAGCAATAAATTTCAAAAATATTAAATTCATTACACAGTATTCATTATAAATTGTTAAAAAACGTTTATGATTTTTTTAAAACCATTGTAATCGCATTTACAGGAAACTTGATACGGCTTTTACTTCTACTAAATAATCAAATTCGGTCAACATTTACGAAAAGTCCAGACAACATAAAATGCAACGCAAAAAAATCGTTGACTAATTAATTCAATCGATGGCCGCGACGCATGCCTTGCAAAAAGAGCAGGGACCACTCTCAACTTATATAGTTAACTATAGCGGGTCCAAGAGGTCAACTTAAGAAGCTTTGGTATTTGGGATAGAATGTATTTGACTAAAATCATTAAAATTTAAACATTTGAGATGACAGCGAGCATGTATACGAGCTCAACTCTTCCTCTCAATCAGAATCCTTCACATATTATATGCTTGGTATTATGTACCATTCATATCAACATTTTTAATGAATCGTCCCGCGACTTTCAAGAACAAATTGCTTTCCCCGATACTTATACTACTAGTTAGGAGACTAGTCAAAGATTCGTCATCTTTTTTATGCAACTCTCATGACGATTGCAACTAGCAATTAATTGCTTGCTATACATAATAAAATCGAATCAGTTGTTATGCGCATATTGAACATTTTTTCTATTCATATCCATGAAACTTACATGTACGTGTTGATGTCTTGAATTTTTTAGTTCCTCCCAATATTGATGATTCGTTAAGTTCGAGTGATGTAATTGTTCGTGAAGGTTCAAATATATCGTTGCGATGTCGAGCAACTGGCAGCCCTAAGCCTATTATAAAATGGAAAAGGGATGACAATTCTCGTATTACAATCAGTAAAAATCGTATCGGTAAGTGTTGATTGATCTTCCACGCGGATCGCAATGAAAATTTGATTTTTATTTTAGTTAATGACTGGGAAGGCGATACATTGGAGATAACACGAATTTCCCGCTTAGATATGGGAGCTTATTTGTGTATAGCATCAAATGGCGTACCGCCTACGGTTTCTAAACGTATTAAAGTCAGTGTGGATTGTAAGTTTTTAACAAATTTTTAATTTTCACCTTTTAATGAGAAATCTCTATATAAGTAGGTAAGTAAGCGATGATATCTGAGAGTAAAAATCCTTAACGTGCATTGTTGCTATAACAAGGAATTATTTTTAATTGAATTAGCTGCACTTTGCACATTCAAACGAAAAATCTCGTAGATTAAAACCAACTCTATGCCGACACATCTTTTTCTATACGATTCTTTTCGCAATTCTATTAATCCTCAAACAGATATACTTTGTTTCTTGTTTTTCTTTTTTTTACAACACGGCCTCAAATTGAAATTTTCACCTAAAACTATGAAAGTAGCAAAAAGGAATATAAAAAAAAAAAAAAAAAATGGAAAAAATCGAAAAATATATACATGCATATATGCTGCTAGAACAACTCCCAAAACACTTGTTACGACTTGTGCTCATAAGCTTCCAGATTTGTAGCCACACGATAGTAGCGCAGAAGAGTAGTGTCGAGTACTGTAGACACAAATAAAAAAGAAAAAAAGAGCAAAAAAAAGGAAAAAAAAAGGAACAACAGTAGCAACACTTCAATTCTTTAAAGTATGAAAAAGTTCACACACTCTACGTACTACGACGAGTGTTTACATGCGCATATACATACATATGTATATATGTATCGATGTAGCATGCTTATATATTGAGTAATAAACCGGTAATGGATGAAATTCCTACCATCTCTTTTGTCGAAGTGCGTACGGGTGTGTTTTTGTTTGCCTTTGCGGAGTATAGAATGGCATAACATATAAAACGCTATGAAACTCTATCGAAATATGCATACAAAAGGTGTTGTGTGTTGTTGTTGTAGTAGTAGTAGTAGTAGTAGTAGTAGTAGGCCTTTCTAAAACAAATCCTTAAATCGAATAGCAGCCAGCCCACTTAAGAACTCAAGCACGTGAAAGTGACCATTGGAGTGGACACAGGCTAGCGAAGGCACACACACACACACACACACGTACAAGTATTTCGTTTACATATATATATCTGTATGTTTATGTTTTGTATAAGTAACGATGTGTATGCACATGTCTGGATGTGTATATTTGAGTGTGTATGTGTGTGTGTGTGTGTGTGTGCATTAGGCAATTTAAACAAAGGCAATTTTTTTGATGAAACAAACCTCGAAAATTCTAATATGATTTTAGTTGTTGAAACAGGTGAGCTGCTCTTCAGCTTCTATTCGACATTTCAAGCAACTTTTTTCATAACCCCAATGCTCAATGCCGTAAGGGATTATAAGATTTTTTTTTATTTTTTTTTTATATAAGCATGACTCGCATAGAAACGTGCCATCTAAAGGGCCTCAATTAACACGGAGAAGCGAAGAGAGGAATCGGAATTCTTGCAGTTCTCTCGTCTCTGCTTATTGAAATCAGTTTTACGATTTTAAAGCTCATCCGATTCGAAATCTCTCTTTGATTAGGTCAAACTCACAAATTCATTAACTAAGTTACTCCATAGGATAGAGTATAGTTTAGCAAAAATCTAAAAATTATATATCCATGGCATTGCTTGCATATGATAATCTTTTCATTACAAAGTCTACTCGTTAATCATGGCTACTATTGATAGGATGCGCACCACAAAAAAAAGTGTTTGATGCTTTCATGTTTTGGATATAACTAATTTGTTAAGAAAAAAATGCGACCAAGACGGACGGACGGACGGACGGACGGAAATAATTTGAAATTACAATAAAAAGTTTACAACATTTTTGATAGATTCATATTGACTTGCTAGTTACTACTTAAAGAACTGCATAAGTACGTGATATGTTACTTAACTAAGTTGCTGCGGCAGTATATTTGCTTAGGTTATAATAACTATTTGATACTGTGTTTATGGTATATTAACAGTGTGACTATGTTGTGGTGTTATAACATTAAATGCATATATATATATATTATGTATGATATTGTTTGTTATAGGCGGCATGTTACCGCACAGTACAACAGTACAGCAGTAAAGTCAGCGTTTTATTAATTTCAGTTTGGGTAACGAGAAAAATAACGAAACAATCTAAACCAAATACAATATGTTTCTTGTTTCGATTTTTTTTTTTTTTTTGTTCAATTTATAGAGAAACATAAATTTAAATAAAACATCCTTCACGACTTCTAAGAAGTTACGTCAAACGTTATTTTGTTTTTTTTTTTGTTTTTTTTCCCTACATATGCATGTAGGAGTTTTAGTCAAGGAATTTGAAAGGGAAGACGAGGTAAAATCATAATTCTTTAGTTTATTGTCATAGACATGTGTTTCTTGCATTTGCTAGAACGGAGGACCGAAATACGTTTTTTTTTTTTATTTTTTTCGTAGCAAAAAAAAATTATGCTTTTATTATTTTCTACTTATAATACACTGATAATATTTCTTTATTCGAAAAGAAGCTCAGATACTTATACTCGCATAAGAACGTACATATATCTGCATAATAATGCCACAATTCGTTACATGTGACAGCTGATACAAAGTACAAAAAACATTCATTCATTCACTCATTCATTCATTCGTTCGTTCTTTCGTTCGTTCGCTCGTTCATTCATATCTACACATGCACGTAATGTACGCTGGAAGCCAGTGACATGTCCTTTTAACTGACCACGTTTAAATGTATTTCCCTTTGTATATATATATATATATATATGTATGTATATGCATATGTATATGTATATATATATATATATATTTGGAATACTGGATATATTCTCTTCCATATAACATATCGTACGTTTTTCAGTTGTGTTTCTTTAAATATTTCAGCTAAAGGCGACATCTGTGTTTGTTTTATTTAGTTTTGTACTAGTGTACGTAGTTTTTTTCCCCGTTTGGTTGCAAATACGTGCGTTCGCAACTACAACAAGCATGTTCTTTGTATTTTAGGTTATTTTTTTTATTTTTTATTTTTTTTTTTTTATGTGATTTGATCGTTTGCTAGATTGCATACTGATTTGTTGCTCGCTTTGTGCAACTAACTGACGACACATGTTACTTTGAAAACTCTCTAACTAGATGTGAGGGCCATTTAATTCCGGATGGCTTCTGTAAAACTATCCGTCTGCTATGTTATGTACATGCAGTACATTTGTATGGCAATCATTCAACTAATGTTGCTTTAGTAACTGTTTTCGTATTCACATGACAATTTCTTGGTTGCGTTTTATTACCTTCTTTTTTGGTTTGTTTTTCGTTTTTCGTTTTTTTTTTGTTTTTTTGTTTTAATCTACATAACAAATACTTATTATTACTATTTTTTTTTTTTTTGTTTTTGTCTATTCATTCATTTCCTCTTTACCGATTGCAAGTCTCTAGAGGCTTGGACTGGATCAAAATCTTTCAAGTCATCGGCCAATGCTTTGAAATTCAAATATAATCAACGTCGCCGAACGAAATTTAAACGAAATACTGCATTTCAAGTATTTTTAAATTTTACTCCTTTAAAAGCATTCTCTCATAACGTTATGCCTTAATATTGCACATACACAAGGAGCACTGACACAACACACAGAAACGCAATTGCGTCAATTTTGACATAACATGACTACACCGCAGCATGTCATTTTATATGGTTTGCCTTTAAATGCAGTAAATTGTGTTGACGCATATTTGCGTTAAAAAATAATGCACCAAAAATTGAACGCAACTATAGGCAGCAGACAACACATATTCTTTTAGCTTATAAAAAAAAAAAGAAGAGGATACTCGGACGTCTTACAAAACAAGCTAGAATTACAGACCCATATGATCTCATTAATTACCAATGCTTGGCCCTAATGGCTGGCTGATTAAAAGTATTTTTAGGTCAACGAATGTTGTACGCCAAACGACTACTTAGTACGACTACTAGCAATATCGTATTTGACGTTGGTTCGTTTTGGTCCCATACGTAGTATGGGACTGTATTCAATATTTTACGTATGTTAATGTTAGTTTAAGGAATAATATTAAAGGGACAGAGTATCATATCCGAAGTCTAAATCTTTAGCCGCATTAAAGCCTTTCCATGGTAATAATAAGCTTGTGCTTGACTGCCTTCAAATCCTCTATAAGCTAGGGAATCACAATGAGGCGCACCTATTTTTGGTATTCAGGCGTTGACTGCGCTGATTGAAAGGGCCGACTGGGTCTAGCGAAAAGAGGAGCCGTTCGGAAACTTCCTCTAGCATATCAAAGAGCCACATGAAGAAACTAGTATCGCAATAGTTACATGGGAAGCTGTCGAAAAAGTACCTTTCATCTTAGCGTCAAAACTTGTCAATGTACTAAAAAAAACAAGACAGATAAGCTTAGCTCGACCATATAATAAATAAAAGGTAAGCCTATCTCAAGTACTTCTGCGTGTTTCATTCATCCGCACAAATTTAATAGATCCTTGTGCAACGAGTAGTGTAGAGTATAAAAATAGTTACATAATCAAAAAAAAATGCATACCCTTTCGAGCATCGTTATTGCAACGCTATTGACGAATTCTAAAGTCAAAGATGACAACTGAAAACACTACGAACGTGATTGAATTGGGAAATGAAGTTTGGAAAAAAACGATGAAAATTTCGCATAGCGTAAACTTTTAAGTGATTCTATACTCGAAAAGCCACATAAACAATTTGAATTTCCATAAGATTTTTGGAGTTGTTATCTTCCAATACTTAAGCGTATGCTTGAAATTTGACAAAAACAAAAATATTGCTGGACAGCTTACAAAATAAGTGCTCATGGGCATGGCTAATTGATAGGTCTTGCGCAGTATATGCATATGCATGACAGATAGAAAGTCTTTAACGTTTACCAGATAAAATAGTCTCTACACCTAGGTGTTGAATGTAAAACTAGTCAAGTAAACACGATGCATCTCAAAAGAGATGAATGAATTCCACGGATCAGAAATCTCCACAATTCTGGATGTTTGCATCGATCCCATACATCATGTCAATTAGCTTCTAACACATTACATACCTTCTTTTCGATGAA